TTATTTTCATAAAACAAGCATGTTACATTACTAAAAATGCATTAATTACTTCTCTGTTAACTTTTAAGTTGACTTTTTTACAATATAAAGTTTCGATGTATTTTTATCAATTTGATAATCATAATAATCGTTTCATTAGTGTTGACTGTCTATTTGTAATAAATAGCACTGACTACAAGTATATATATATATATATATATATTATAAAATGAGCAAATTCAATTTTCTAGATGTAAACTATACTCGCTGCATGATACTATTATTATAATATTCAAGGTGTATAAAGCTTTCATACATTAAATATTCAATCTTGAAACGTTCATTGTTCGAAAAGAAATGCAACAATGATTATCTCCCTTATAGTTTCTCAATTATTACGCAATATTTGATTCTTGGGTTCCACTTTAAGAGCTATTTCTTTATTTCTGAGACAACAACAACAACAACAAAATCAAGGAAAAAGTGAAAAAAAAAACGCAAAGAAAAAACAAAACGTGGGACAGTAAAGAAACTAACATCTTAGAGGTTTACTGTTATTTTTCTCAAATAAACAGCTGTTGTATGTTTATTGTCATCATACAATTCAGAAGTGCTTTCGGAAACTCGTAATTTTCATTTAAAAAAAAAACCCTCATAAACATAAGGTTTTATGTTAGTTGAAATATTTAGGTTATCACTATAATTGACAATACCACGAAACTAAAGGCATATGATCAAATAATTTACAATAACTATATTATCACTTTTTGTCGTTGTGTCTATTAAGTCCTTTTACCACCATTCTTATGATCTTAAGCTTAGCTTCACATTATGACTTAAAATACCTTTTGAAAAAAACAGTCCTTAAAGTCTGGCATTTCTAGGATTTTTAGGACTAGTTATCATTTTAAGTTTTAAGTGAATCAAATGTAATCACACAAACATATAGTGAAACCCTTGTACAAAACGTTTTTGATGTTTCTCTGCTTTGTCACAAAAAGTAAACTGATCTTTGGTTTCCACTAGTTTTCATATTAATATACCTTCCTGAACGATTTTCAGAAATAATACCGAGATATAACTTTTAAATACACTGCGGTACGATAAATAAATCGTATTATCAATTGCAATAGTATTTCATTGTGAACATACCATGAAGAGTGTCTTTACAGTGTAAATTGTAGTTACAGAGAGTAAAATATTCCTGCGTAAAATACAAGAATGAAGATTATTCTAGAAATATATAAGAATGAAAAGTAAATGACAAATTACTTATATTTCATAATATATTAAATAATAACAGTAGTAACTATGAGGTAATCATTGTTGAAAATGTCTATATTTTATGAAAATCAATAATTACTCTTATATTTATTAAAATCAGTAGAAAAAATGGTAAAATATAATACAAAATAGGCTTAAAATTTTATCTTACCCTTAGGGGCCCACAATCCAATACAAGCTATGCTCAACACAAACGGAAGAATTACCATCATCTAAAGTTGGGTTTAGCATGAAACCCGACACGATTTTATAAATACGTATAAATGCACATGCGTGGGAGTTGGATAGATTGTTATCCCTCAGGTGGTTGGCTACAGAGTAGAAACACAGTAAACAGTTCGTTCTAACCACGGAGATTGAAGAGTCTGTTTCATTCCATGGGCTTACTCAATGTGAACGTGGTCGTGATGATGCCACGAGCCTGCTTCCTTACCCTCGACTATATAGACTTCAACTTAATACAAGCTAAACATATATCGCTGGCCGTGCTAGAGAAAGCTGTTACGTGCGGCAGAGCTCGTTCATTTAATATCACGTGAGTGCATCTATGGAACGCACATGACAGTATAAGCACTTTGGAATGGAAGAAACATATTAATTTGCACTTACTTCAAGTTTTTATTAAAGTTATATTAGACAAATTCTTCGTGCATTAAAAGAAATCGTAAAATATAATATAGATATATCTGCAAACTTTATGTTTTTCAAAGCATGTGGACTTCTAAAAATTGTCCATTTTCAAAGGAGCATTCTTGTAAAAAAAAGTTATCGTGAAAATGAGCCTGTACTAAACTAAGCTGCAACCTTTTTCACTGAAATGCTTAATATGTCAAAATGCTCCTAGCAAGGATTTATGGCACTGCCTTATCATTTACAATATCATAGAGTAATAGCTATCATCAAGGTAATATGCTTGATTTTGTTTATATTGCTCAGCGTAATATATTTCCTAGTTTTATTTAGATGAAAGGAAGAGCAATGGGATTTGATCACAGTTTAGTATTGATTATTATAATAAAAAAGTAGAATAAAAACAAGACTGATAAAATGACTTTCAACAAACTACCTTTTACGGGTGGTACTATATTTTATTGACTATAAATATCCACTATACCCAAAAGAGAACTAAAGAACAGAGAGGAACTGTAATAAATCTTTATCCTAGCATTATTCTATAGGGGAAAGGCATATAGCTAGACATATTTTACAATTTCTAAAGTTATCCATTGATACATTTAACAAGGACTGATGTATCTTTTAAAATATTGAAGAAAAACGACAACAACAACAAAAAACAAAAACACGATGTCAAAACGGTTGATGAAATAAACCTGATGAATCCGATTTCTTAGGATTATCCAGCAAAATGCTTTGGACATACAGTGTTATATTTCTGAGCTATTTACCTTGATCTCCCTTTTTTGACCTGTTCTTCTTCTGAGTTACTTAATTGAGACACTTTAAATTGGCACTTAAAGCCTCTAGCGAAAAATCGAGGCCAATGATAGTAGCATTTGTTTCACTCGTGGTAAAAGTTAAAGAGTCATAATTGTTAATTGAATAAATATTCAAAACCATGAATTTCATGGACGAACGAGATCGAAGCCAGTCATAAGTAAAGGGATTTGTGGAGACATGAATGATTAAAATCTTTATTAAACTCGTAATATATATATTCATATAAGTGAATAATAAAGGAAGGAAAAGTGTACTAGAGTAACGCAAGATATAATAATAATAAGATCAATAGGATATCAAGAGGAAACGTACAGGAATAAGACAGCAGCTGATATGGGCCTGTAATAGAGCATATGAGTGTACATAGGAAGGCGCTTACAAATATGGTTGAAAGTTACTTTTGTTTTATGGCAAAGCTACTGCCGATCAAACGGGAGGCAACTGGCACGCAGCACCCACTTCTAACTATTGGGATTGGCCGTCATATTATAATGCCTCCACGATTAGAACGGTGAATATATTCGCTGCACTGTTTCAATCCCGCCACTCTCAGTTTGCGAGTGGAGCGCTATTCGAAGTCCGTAAGAACATGATATTCAAGAAATAATTCAAGTAGATGGAGCATAAGTTGATTTTTTTCCCCTTTTTTAAAATTATATTCAATCTATCTATTAGCATCATGGGTAGCCTTCTGCTGAAACCACTGAAATTAAGGAGGTAAATAAATAGTTCCATTACATGTTGTGGATGAAATTTACGAAATTTGTACAAGATAATATTGCGAAGTGTTTAGAAGTTTACACTTCTGAAGATTGTTTACATGGAAGTTAATAGAATTGACATATGTAACCATGGGTAAAATGTTAATCTAGGAGAGTCTGAGCCCGATTAGCAAATACAGTGATTGAGATTAGTCAACAAACATGAAAAGGGTTTCCATTTTATATTAAATATTGAAGAACAGATTACTTGGCACGCTCATTAGAAACATTCGGTTATGAAATTCCCAATGTTTAATGAAACATTTTATTCAGTGTGAAGAAGTAAACGAAAAATAAAACGCAACGATTTAAAATTTTAGGGAAATGATATGCAGCAACGCTTGGCAAGTTTCCACCGTTAATATTCTATTACTTCGTGACTTCCAATAGCTCTGAACGCTTAAAACATCATCTGAATGGAAAGTGACACTTACTTTTCGTACGTATTATAATTATTCAGTATATTTTTATATTTTTTTAGCCAGCATATTCCAACAACTTCTAAACTCTCATTGTTACGTTGTATCGAAATAAAAATACGTAAAAAAATGCATGAGTACAACACACTTTCATGTGAACAGTAAATATCAAGATATAAACTTCCATTTTCTTGGCTAGATATTTATAATTCAAATAGCATTTTCAAAAAGTGTGTTTATTGAAAACACATTTACACTTTAGTCTGTTTGCTTGCTCGTTTTAGAGCAAAGCTACATTGGACTATTTGCTGTGTTCATCGCGGGGAATCGAGCCCCAAATTTTACGTTGTAAGTCCATAACTTAACCGTGGTTTTACTAGGGATTTTTAGTTCTACGCCTATGTTATCATGTGCATATTGATTCGTAATGGTAAGCAAGTCATCTGTTATTTGTTTGCATTAATATCTGTTCGTTTGTGAATAATATCGGTGATAATAGGTAGGCAAACAATGATATATAAGCATAAAAAATTCTTCCTTATACTTATAAGTTGTTGCTTGCCTGTCTATTATTATATTAGTATAATGTGCTTTCTTACTCAAGTATTAATATCGGTGTTTATGTGTGTTTTTCTGCAACACATTTCCGAGCACCATTTTGCCAAACTTGAGAGTACAACCTGTAAGGTAAAACGCAAACAAACTAAAATATACGATGTCTTAACTGTAGAACACTGAATATGATAATTTGTCTTCTTCTTCTTCTATGATACCAAGATTATTAAAATTATTCTTTATTGTTTGTAATTAAGCCCAAAGCTACACAAAAGGTTGTCTGTGCTCTGCCCACTACGGGTATCGACACCCGGTTTCTAGCGTTGTAAATCCGCTATTAAAACTAATGCAATCTATTGTAATTCTGGGATGCTGGTAAATTATTGTAGCAGTTAATCTATTGCATTAAAATGTTAGGATTTAAATGCAGTCTGCTACATTTTATAGATTCCCAGCTTGTCTGTAATAGGATAACGTGTTGACATCATTTCTGTGAAAACGTATAAAAAAAGGCAATTTGAAAAATGCTCACAAAAAAAAAGAAATGTTTCGTGAGAGGAGGAGTTTCTAAGCTATAATAAACTGCGCTTGTTTGTTTATGTAATGGGTTTCTTCTTTAAAAGAAACTTTCAATTCGTCGAAAAATTATTTCTTGCCTATGGCATACAGAATAAACAAAATTTCAAGCGCCCTTTTATACGAGCAATAGCTCACACTCTAATGTGTTTCTTCTTAGGAAGGTAATATTTTACCGTTAACTTTATCACCATTACAGATAAAGATACCAGCAATGGATTTAACGCTAAATATTTCGTAGAATTATTTCAGAGAAAGGTGATATTTGTTGAAAAGCCTTTTATTTCAAAGGTTTAATACCCATAAAATTCCCTACGTTTCTATACAAGTTACACCTAAAAGTATTTGATCAGTAAATTCAGTGAGCACAAAACGCATTAAGTGTAAACTGGGATGTTACTTTACAATGCCCAGAGGTTTTTGAGAGAAAAGCATTTAAAAAAGTTTGTATAAACACATGAAAAGAGCAAAAAGTATATTTATAACCTGATGCCAAATTCAATAATATTCAGTCAGTGCTTCTGAAATATCACCTGAAGACTTTTTATGCCTCTGGGTAATTGTATAAGTTATCATTTGACTTTCATGAAATTTAGGTTACTCTGTAGCTTTAGAAAAGTTCATATATGCTTCTGAGCTTTTTTTTTTATCCAACTTGAATGGTAATACAAATTGAACTGGAAGAATAATTTCTACCAACGAAAAGCAATTATTAAACATATAAAACCTCTAATGAAGTATGAGGTGACGAACATTTTACTTCACATACAACATTTTAGAAAGATTTTACCACAGTACATTACTGAAAATAAAAGTCTCCAATTCGTGATTAAAAAGCTGAAAGTAAGTCATGAAAAGTGCAAACTGGACAATGAAATGTTTATGATAACTTTTAGTGTTATGTAGTCGTAGCTTCAATTAATATATTTCGTGATATTAAACAATAACTGTAACGAAAATTTATATGAAGTTTAAAATTTGGTTATTACACTTAAACATTTAAGCTTGGATTGCGCATAATGCACACATACAAAACGGCGTGAAAATTCGCAAGCCAAAAATAACTAACATGCATCGTGATTTCAGAAAATATATTCAATTTTATGTAAATCGAAGCAACGTTAGTTGATACAGCGGTATACAGTTAACTCTTTATTTAGTATATTAAGAAAATAGGTAAGAACTAGGAAAGAGAATAACTTATGTGTTCAGCACTAGCTATTTCTGATTTCAGAACTTAAGAAACGGAAACTAACTGATCGTTCAACAAAAGCCAAGCTCTGATTTTGTGAAAAACGAATACTAATACTACAAAATTATTAAGCAACTGGTATATCATATAATTGTCGCGACTATACTCCACTTAATATCTGAATTATTCTAATCGTCGTTTAGAGAGAGAATTGTTGACAAAATGATATTTTGTGGTGTTTAAAACAAAGACTGTGGAATAAAAACTCGGGTATAAGAAATGGTAAAATTCACCTAGTGTATTCTATATAGTTTGAAATTGATAACCATTATTTCCATTTTTGATCTTAGTTAACATAGGTTTTTTTTAAGTATTTTCAACCTGAACTAATCTTATGCGACAAATGCGTATTTAGAGACATAATGCATATTCGAACCTT